CTGCTGCTGCTGCTGCTGCTGCTTCTGCTTCTGCTGCTGCTGCTGCTCTGTTTGTTGCTGCGCTTCGGCTGCTGCTGCGCTCCCTCAGTGCGCTGCTTCCGCTGCTGCTGCTCCCCCGCCGGCTGCTGCAACAGCAGCAGCAGCAGCAGCAGCAGCAGCTCAGTCCCTTTTCTGTTTGGCCTCCTTGCTGAGCCTGAGGCCCACTCTGTAAGTCTCCCCCATCCAGCCATCTTCCAACTGTCTCCTTTCTGCAGCAGCAGGTCTTTGCTGCACTTGTTCGCCAGCAAATCTGTGGCTGCGGCCCTCGGGGAAGCGGAAGGGTGCTGCTGCTGCTTTCGCCTCTGCTGCTGCTGCTGCTGCTGCTGCTGCTGCCCCCGGCAGACTTCCAGGAGACACAAAAGGAGACAGCTCATCCTCCACTGCTGTTGCTGCTGCTTCCAAGTCCTTAAGTCTCCTCAGCTCTTCATTTATTTCACTCCGGTACAGCTTGTGCATCACCCGCAGCAGCTTCCGCTGCTGCTGCTGCTTCTGCTGCTGCTGCTGCTGCTGCTGCTGCTGCTGCTGCTGCTGCTCAGGGAGGCGCGGGGGGGCGACCATGCGGAGGCGCTGCTGCTGCAGCAGCAGCGCTTCTGTAAACATATCAGCAACCTCCTTTTTGAGATTTGCTGCTGCTCTTTCTTCGAGAGTTCGGAGACGCTTTTCAATGTGCTGCTGCCGGGCCTTTTCCCGCTGCAGCGCTGCTGCTGCTGCTGCTTGCTGCTGCAGCAGCAGCAGCTCTGTCTCCTGCGGCGCCTCGCTCAAGTCCTCCAGCCAGCTGCTGAGGCCCTCCTGTGTCTCCTTGCATTCGCGCAGCTGCTGCTGCAGCTGCACTGTCTCCTTTTCGATCTCCTGCTGCAGCAGCCGCACGACCTGCTGCTGCTGCGGCGAAGCCTCGCCTGCTGCTGCTGCTGCTTCCAGCTCCCCAACAGCAAGCCCCAGCAGCCGCTCCTGTCTCTTCATCCGGCTCAGGTCGTCTTTTGCTGCTGCTGCTGCTGCTCGCAAGCTGTTGAGCTGCTGCAGCAGCAAGTCCAAAGCCACCAAAAAGGCCTCTTCTTTTTGCTTCTGCTGCACTATGTATTCAGTCAAGCTGGCAGCAAAGTCTGCTGTTGCTCCTGCTGCTGCTGCTTTTGCTGCTTTGTCTTCCAGCCGTCTCCTTGCTTTTGCTGCTTTCCGCTGCAGCAGCTTCACAGCTCTTTCCGTGTGCTGCAGCGCAGCAGCAACTGCATCAGCTCGGGCAATTGCTGCTGCTGTGGGGTTCCGGATCGTCTCCAGGTTCGTCTCCTGGATCGTCTCCAGCTGCTGCTGCTGCTTCTCTATTTGCTGCTCCGTCTCGTTCAGCTGCTGCTTCAGGTGCAGCAGCAGCGCGTCCAGTGTTTGCTTCCGCTGCTGCTTCTCCTCCAGCTGCTGCCGAGCAGCAGCAACAGCAGCACGCGCAGCAGCAAGTGCGGGGTCCTTCACCGCCCCGGGATCGTCTCCTTCGGAGCTGGGATCGTCTGCCTTGAAGCTGGGATCGTCTCCCTCGGAGCTGGGATCGTCTCCCTCGGAGCCGGGATCGTCGGGATCGTCTTCCTGGGGGCTGGGATCGTCTTCTCGGGAGCTGGGATCGTCTTCCTGGGAGCTGGGATCGTCTCCGCGGGAGCTGGGATCGTCTCCGTCCGCCTCCTCGGGCCCCACAAACTCGCTCACTGCTGCTTCCGCCTGGGCCCTTATGAGGCGGCTGAGAGCAGCAGCAAGTTTGAACTTGTCTTGTTTGTCGCTGAAGAAAGCTGCTTCTGCTTCTGCTTCGCGGAGCTGCCGCAGCAGCAGCAGGCGGCGCTGCAGCAGCAGCAGCAGCTGCTGCTCCTCGGGGGAGAGCTGGGCGAGCTGCTGCGCCTCCTGCTGGGCTGCTGCTGCTGCTGCGGCTGCTGCTGCTGCTTCGGCGGCGGCGGCAGGCCCTGCGCCGACGAGGCCCTCGATCTCGTGCTGCAGCTGCTGCTGCAGCAGCGTGGCCTGCTGCAGCTGCTGCTGCCGCCGCAGCAAAACTGTGGGGGCGTCCTGCAGCTTCACCAGCTGCTCAACTCCGGTGTCCAGCAGCAGCTCGAGGGCCTCGATCTCTTCTTGTGTCTCCTTTTTGATTTCGAGAGTCTCCTGGAGCTCCTCAGCTGCTGCTGCAGCGTCTGCGGCGAGCTGCTGCTGCTGCTGCTGCAGCTGCTGCAGCGCCGCCGCTGCTGCTGCTGCCTCCCGCTGCAGCTCGCGCCCCGCCCGCTCTGTCTCCTCCGCCCACTCCCGCACTTCCTCTTCTGCTGCTGCTACTTCTGTCTCCACGAGATGCAGCTGCTGCTGCTTCAAAGAAATAAAAGTCTCCTTGTCTTGTGTCTCCTTTCCAAGGAGACAGACATCGAGCCAGGCCTCTTCGCGTTCGAGGCGGAGTCTCTCGGCCTGGAGCTGCTGCAGCGCGGCTGCTGCTGCTGCTTCCGGCGTCTGCTGCAGCAGCAGCAGCTGCTGCAGCGCCAGCTGCGCCTCGTCCCTTTCTTTCCGCGCCAGCTTCAGCTGCATGCTCGCCTTCTTCACTTCTGCTGCTGCTGCTGCTGCAGCAGCAACGGAGTCTGCGGGGGCCTGCCGCAGCGCGGTGGCTTCGCTGTTTGCTGCTGCGATCTTCTGCTGCAGCTGCTGCAGCAGCAGCACCTGCCCGCCCTGCTGCTGCTCCAGCGCCTCCGTCTCCCGCCGGTACTCCGCAGCAGCAGCAGCAGCAGCATCTCGTGCTGCAGCAAACCGCCCCGTCTGCTCCTCCAAGTCCTGCTGCTGCTGCTGCTCCGCCTCCAGCAAACCCTCCGCCTTGCTCAGCTCGATCTCCTGCTGCACTGCAGCAGCAGCAAGCAGCAGCGCAGCAAAAAGCACCAGCAGAGACGCCACCCCGTACTTGGAGACACTTGGGGGGCCCCCCTCAGCAGCAAAACTGGGGGGCCCCTCCCCCGGCAGCAACCCCACACCTCTCCGGACCCAAACACTTTTTGTCTCCTCCAGATCGGGATCGGGAGCGGGATCGGGATCGACTGTGGGGCTGCTCACGGGCCCCGACTCCGAGAACGCCGTTGCTGCTGCTGCTGCTGCTGCTGCTG